ATCGCTCTTTGTTACGGCCCACTTGATGTCTTGTGGGCCTTGTCGGCCTGTGCTCGGTAGGCGGTACAAAAAAGACGGCAGAACAACTTTGTGCAATATTTACAAACGTTGAAATCTGCATTTTGAAACGCTTTCTGCAGCAATATAACGATCCTGCGCAATTTGTGTTCCCCCTCTAGTTTGGAAATTGGCTTCACGTGCGCCAAAAAAACACGCAAAGTGCAACGGCAATCATAATTATGATGCGCAAGTCAATGGAAAATGTAAGAGGCCGGGTTTGTGCGAGGTTAGCGGGTGGAAAACTAGCAGTAACAGATTCAGAGCGTGGAACAGGCGGGTTGATACGGCTGCACAGTGTAACCTCTTAGTCATCAGGGGTTTCTTTGGCGAGCTACTCCTCTGGTCTGCTCGCCGCAGCGGTGATACTTTGGAAATGCACGGTGGGGGTGGGGGGGGTTAAAGAGGAGCCCCCCATTGTCCACTTCACAATAACAACTCCAGTACATGCATTCCACCCTTTGAATGCGGGCGCCGATGGATGGATCAAATAAGAATGTGTCAGCAATCACAGGGCCTGCATGCCCGCCCGCAGGCGTCATTGACAGCCACTTTTAATGTTTTGTCGCCGGCTTGCAACTTGGAGAGAGCGATTCCTTGACAGTAATGGCCGCATTTATCCCGACAGTTGCAATGTCACGGTGCGCGTTAAGCGGTGGGGGGAAGGGGGGGGGGGCGGGGGAGGGAGGGAAGGGGGCCGGGGGGTTGGGGTGGGGGGCAACCTCGCTGCCGTGCTCCGGCAGCGTTTACGTATTCCGCTCGTCGCCACCCGCGGTGGTGAGTGAGGTTGTTTCATTCAATTAGCAAAAACCTCAAAGATGGAATCAATCACACGCGGCCGTCCCAACGCACACGCCGCCAATGCGATGACGTGTGGAGGAAGGGTGGACCAGAGTGCCGTGGCAGGTGCCTCGGGAAATCTATCGCCGAGCACAATGCCCCGGCGACCATCAATCGACGTGCGTTCGCGTCGCCGTTAACCTTTGCGTAAAGAACGACGCCGGGTGTAAACGGTCCACACGCTGGACTTGCAATTCATAGGTCGTAGATTTGATTTCATCTTCTGTCAATGGGCACGTTTATTAACCCCCCCCCCCCCCCCCCTGCTTCCCCTACCCAACAACGTAAATGGGTACGTAACAGTTGGTTGATGGGCAGGTCACGTGTGGTGGGGTAAGGTATGGGTACCCCCACCTCTTGCATCAAGTATGGTGCATGTGTGAGTATCGGCCCGACTGCTGTCTAGAGGGGGCCCTACAGGGCCCTACAGGGCCCCCTCTGTGTAAGCCCCTTAACGGCAGCGGCGGGTGTAAGCGCGTGCGATTGCAAGGCTGCGCGCGCCTTTTACCGTTTACTCTTCTGAAAATCTCATGCCCGCCGCGAGTTGGGGTATTTTTGGTTGGCCAGTGTGCGCGCACGTGCCCGTGCGTGTGTATTTTTTTTTCTGCATCTGCCAAAAAGGTGGCGCAGCACGTGCTGCCCCCTAACTCGACGACGGGTGGGCCCGTGCCAGGGAGAGAGCGAAAACGGCTGTAAAAATCACGAGAGACGGAACCGCCCAAGAGGGTCACCCAGTCCGTTTTTTTTATTGGAGGCATCATCATCATCGGGACACAAAGTACCCTCTGCCAGGCTTAAATAAACAACGTGCCCCGAATGAAAATGAGAGACGCCGTTGCGCTCTTTGGAAAAACCGCTCATCATAATTTCTGATTATTACATGTTTTCTTGGGTTGTGTTTATTTTCGCTGTGTTTTTAATCCACGGGGGTTTCTATTTCATTAGGCGGATTACGTCGTTTGCAGAGTGCACTCACTAATTTATGTCGCTGGGTTTTTTTACGCTGGTCTCGTGAGACTCGGCTGGGTTTTTTTTATCCGCTTGATTAACATCGATCTGTATTTGTAAGGCCCTTGTCGTTTATTTTACATCACTCGACGCAAACGAGACGGCGATTTTGAAATCCAGGTGACGCGTTCACCAGCTTACTTTTGCACGGTTATACGTCGCTTATTTATGGTGCGAGGTGGAGCGGTGGCGTAGCGGTTAGCCCCGCTACTTTATGAACCCGGCGAGTTGCAATCTGCACCTCCGATTAGCACGGTTGGCTATGTACGGTGCGAAAGAAGTTCAACCATAGATACGCTGCTAACATCGGTAACGAGTGATGTCCAAATTGAGCCTCCTGTAATCCACCTGGGCCTTCCCCAATCCACCAACCTGCACTGACTGCCCTCGACCCCACTTTGAAATACCGTACAATATCATTTAATGCTATTTTTGTATCTGTTTTTTTTATATATAACTGTGGTGATTGTAGCGGACTCTAGTATACTGGGGAGATCACATGAAAGCATTACGTAAAACATGCACATTTAAAAAAAATAGGTTCTTACACGATTCGGTGCACGTATTGTGAACTATAGATACTTACGATTTAAGAGCTCAACTGAAGCGTGGTCCTAATGTAAATTAACAATAATACACGTCCCTTTGTCGATCCAATACTGTATGAAGGCTTCCCCATCACTTGGAGGGTGGGGGGTCTGGCCATGCTTGACCACGCTGGTCAGTGCAGGTTCGCCGTGGCCTGGATTCGGAACTTGCAGTGCAATTCACTAACGACTGCACCACTGCTCTCCGCCACCCCTTTCAACTCTTAAAACATTTCCAGCGTGTGCTTTCAAACAGGGTAGATTTAAAACGAACAAAAAAACTTTCATCGAAGAAATATGTATTTTATTTTTTTTAAACCGTTTTAATTTTTCAAAGCTACGGCGGTTTTGCTTTCAGCGAGTTGAAAGTTGGGGGTGCGACAGGGATTTTTACGCGCCGAGTGATCGTTTCCGATTGGCTAACAACGCGTGCGGCTTACAGGAATAACAGCGTTGGCGGACAGCCGCGCGGCTGGATACACGTGTAAGCGTTTTTCCAACGCCGGATTTATGAGAAGCGACGAGCAGGAGAAGCGTGGACGTCGTTAACACGCATCGCACTTTACGCTCAATTAATGTGCGCTGCCTGTTGCTATAGCTAAAAAGCTGGGGTGGTCGCGAGTGGAACAGAGCAAAATCGTCGTTTTAACGTTTACTCCCTTTGGCATTTTCTTACAACAGATAAATATATTTTTGTAAGTGTGTTAACACTGTGAAATTTAACACGTGGGATTTCCGCAACCAAATGTTACACTTCACAATCGTTTTTTTGGCTCCGATCGCCTCGTGAGTACAATGCCCAATGGGTGTCGTCCACCCTGACGCAGCCAAATAATTGGAGTTGCCACGCGAACAAGCGGCACGTCAATAAAAAAACTGGTGCAAATAAAAGGCGGCGCTGCTGTCCGCATGACAACTTCATTTCAGTTCAGTTTAATTTATTTGGCTGTGTCAGGTGGAGGAGGGTGTACCACACAACATTGGTATTGTGTTCACACAGCGATCTGGCCTAAAAATCTATTTACGAATCATCGGCACAAAATATTCCCTCTTTTTTTTATACGTCGGTGTAGGCGTTTGCAGATGGACCTCTTTAATTGTTACAGCGGCAACGTTTAACAAATCCGGGAGCGTGTGTCAGAAATCACCGTTGGGGCTGTCCAAAGCAAGGGGAGATGGTCAGCGAGTGGAGAAATTCCTTCCACTTCCGACTCGAAACAAAATGAATAACGGTGGACGTTGGGAAAGATTAGCAGCTGGTCTTGCTGGATTTTCGGGCAAAGGTTAAGCTTGTTTAAGAAGCAATCAGAATTTCACAAGACCCTTTAATATTTGCGGTGCCGGTCTTCCATGTGTTGCCACGCGGCCGCTGCTCCTGTGCACGGCTTGCGGACGAACGGACAAAATGAGCAACATGCGAATGCGTTGCCTGCGGCAGGTTCTTTGGCAAAATGTCGTCTCCTCTGCCGCAAATCTAAAACACTCCTCGAGGTGGATTTTAACTTCATTACGAGTAGACGCTCATTGAGCTCGAAGAGTCGATATAATCGCGTATGCGGCGGGGAGAGTGTCGAGACGGTTATCACAATAAACGACTGCTCCGCGCGGGTCAATTTAAATTCACTTAAAAAAAATTTTGGCAAATGTCACGCCGTTATTTCTGTGTGTTATGGACGATATTTAGGATGGTTGTGTCTTCGTTTCGTGTGTTTCTTTGAAAGAAAACATTTTGTACGACAGATTGTTATATATGTTAGCGATGAGAATAATAACAACGATTTACATTCATTTGTCAGTCCACTGCTTCATGAAGACCTTCTTATGAACTGTTGGTAATGGGAATTTATTTCACCATACTTCACCTCGCTGTTCATTACAGGTGAAAGTGGGTCGGGGGGCGGGGGGCGACCATCGGTTCAGATATCACTCGCCACGGATGCTCGCCGTAGCAGAGAGTCAAACTCCAGTTAACATGCTTATTTCGCCGCGTACGAATCAACGTGCCACCGCTCACGCAATTACATTTACAGGCCTGACTCGAGAAACCCATTGTGGAGTGTGGTGCTGAGAGGTGAACAGGAGGGAGAGGGATTGGATGGGATGGAGGGAACTTAAGCCATGGACCTGCCCATTGGCAGACAACTCAAGAAGAAGACATTGCATTGATATGAATTAATAGGGTTGAATGATCCAACCAAAGTCTTATTCTGAGCAAATGGGATTTAATCTGCGTTTACCTGGATGCGATCGTTTGGTACCAAGATCCCAATCGGATCGCTTTACGTCGGATTGAATCTTCCTGCATTGGTCATCGCCACCCACTTTATTTTATGGGTCTAGGAAACCTCTGTTGAGGTTACAAGATTCTGGGTTCGATTCCCACGTGAGAAAGAGTGCAACACACTAAATGGAAATATTCTATGTTTCTTGAAGTGTGGAACCATCTTCGTTGGTGCGCGTCGGAAACGGTGAAAACCTATAACCCTCCCCTGTCTCCTGCGCGTGCAGTACCGTGTTGGGAACAAGCCTGGGAAGGCGCGCTCTGGTCAGGCCTCGGCAGCTGCTAGCGGCGGCGGCGCCGGTAGCAGCGGCGGAGGAGGCGGTAGCGGCGGCGGTAGCGGCGGTGGCGGCGTGAGCCCCGGTCCCGGCTCTGCCTCGTCGTCGTCAGCCGGCCCGGCGCAGGGCCAGGGCTCGGGCCTTCGCTCGGCCATCTCGAGCGGCGCGCGGAGACGGCGCACGCGCTGTCGCAAGTGCGAGGCGTGCGTGCGCACCGAGTGCGGCGAGTGCACCTTCTGCAAGGACATGAAGAAGTTCGGAGGCCCCGGCAAGATGAAGCAGTCGTGCATCATGAGGCAGTGCATCGCCGTGAGTGACCCGCGCGGCGCAAGGCGATTCGGGTTTTTGGTTTTTTTGTGAATGCGTTCCAGCCACGGTTGAACGCGGATCGGGACGACTGCCCCGGACTCTGCGCTTTGGGGGGGGGGTGGACTTCCCCCCCCCCCACCCCCCCCGTAGCGGGGGTCGGATTTGAATGAAGCTGTGGAGAAGCGTCGTGTTGCTGTTAGCGACTCGCTCTGTTTTACACCGGCCACGTTGATCAGAGTTTCTGCGCATAACTAGGAGAGACGCATACCAGAGCAAACTTAAAATACGCAAATGCATACTTACAGGTAAACGCTGGCTCTTAAATAGTTCCGAGGACTAGTGTACGATGGAACTCTATACATAATCCATGTTAATGTATTATTATTCCTAGGTTGTATTATTTATTTGGACACACATGTAGGATGGACAACAACAGGAAAACTTTAAAGAGTTGTCCGGAAAAATGGAAGGAGCCGGGTTTCAAGGGACAATCTAACAGAGAATGGCTTGATGACAACATAAGAGATTGGTGCCAGAAATATGTACGCTACTCGAGCATATTGGCACAAGACAGAGGAATGCGGAAACAAATGACGAAATGCCTGGTGGACCCCCAAGGGCTATGCCCACGGATCGTGGTGATGATGATGTATTTTCTTGCTTCGACTTTTTAATTTTCGCTTGCTTTGCATTTGCACTGATTGTTGACCCGCGTGTGTGCGTTGCGCGTCACAGCCTATCCTCCCCCACACGGCCGTGTGCCGCATCTGTGGCGAGGCCGGCAAGGAGGAAGCGGCGGAGGGGGAGGAGGAGAAGTTCAGCATGACGCTCATGGAATGCTCCATCTGCAACGAGATCGTCCACCCTGCCTGCCTCAAGGTCCGGATTCCCCGTCGTCCGCGGAGACGCAGCCTCCTTCTGTGCACACGCTGGCTGGGATTGCAGTGTTTTGTGTCGCGTGCATTTCGTGTCGGGTACAACGGTGGCGAGATGTGAACTATCTCGCCTGGTACATAGGAGGTCGTGGGTTAGATCCCGACCCTGACGCCTATATATTTGGAGTTTGCATGATCTCCCCGTGTTCTCGTGGATTTTTCTCCGGGTCCTCCGGTTTTGCCCTTCCACATTTAGAATTGACGTGCGTTTAGAGTATTTGGCTGCTATAAATTTCCATATGATAAGCCACTTCGTTGAGCTATCATTTGTGATCGCCAGGTCGTTTCTGAAAAAAGCTATAAAGCTCGGTGGCCCCTTCACCTGGTAAAAAAAAAAGCTTCGTTTTACGTCGTATATTTTGTGTGTCGTGTTTCATGTTGCGTGTGTCGTGTGTTGCATGTTTCATGTGGATTGTTTCGGGTCGGCGCCAGTGTATGAATGGGGCAGCCCAATGGCCTCATTCGCTGAGGATTTCCTACGTAAATAAATGTGCATTATTATTTTTCTCATTCCGTTAAGTAATCGGGAGAATTATTTCATGTAATTTCATGTTTTTTTTATTCAAGTAAGTTAATAAGTTACCATTTGCCAAAATGGAATTGTTTCGGTTAAACATCCACTACTGATTTCATTTCCTGTAATTAACATATTTTGGTTACATTATCGTCACGCTTATAATTGTCTGTGATTGGATGGAATCCCATGACGTATAGGTTATTCTAATTTAAAGCTCGACAACCAAGTCCTTAATGCATGTATTCACCAAAATATCCTACCTTTATCGTTATGCACTATCTCACAAGTAGGATGAATTTTTCGGAAGGATGTACCTGGGGCTACGTGATGGATAGCAGTGGACAACGCAGCACCATCCATTGCATTGTACTTCTATACTCGCGTTCTACGCTCCCTGCCTGCAATTAACCGGCATTTGCCGGCGTAGTTAAGCACGGACAAATATCCCCTCATCCAACAGTGGATTGAATTAAAGGGCTGTACTTATACGTACACATTGTTATCGAGCCAGTATATGTGTAATCAATGGAACGGCATTTGTTCCAACAACAAGAACAACGTGGATGAGCAACCTAGTCGCAGGCCATCGTTGTGCGGGAAAGGATGGCCGTGAACGTTGCGACCGCGAGCGTTGTGATGCGAGCGTTGTGATGCGAGCGTTGTGATGCGAGCGTTGTGATGCGAGCGTTGTGATGCGAGCGTTGTGATGCGAGCGTTGTGATGCGAGCGTTGTGATGCGAGCGTTGTGACTCACCCGCGCACCGTTGCTTTGCCCCGCCCGTGCCGCCCAGATCGACGATAAGGAGGGAGTGATAAACGACGAGCTGCCTAACTGCTGGGAGTGCCCAAAGTGCAACCAGGAGGGCAAGACGGGAAAGGTAATCAAGGCGAATGCTGGGATAGGAGGCCAGGTTGGGGGAAGGACGTTTGGCTAATGGCCCAGACTCAAGGTCGAGAGGTTATCGTGGTCAATGCAATGCCACCGGTGCCACTGTGAACCTCTCCATCACTTCCTTTCTTCTGCCCGTTTAGTACTGGGATGGGTGACCACCACCGGTGGTTCCCAGGTGTGGGCTTGCCAGGTTTGCCAGATGTAATTGGGATTCCATGCCTCGTGGCTAGAGTTCATTGGAGGGTTATGCTATTTCCTGGTGCTCGTGTGAGGGTGAGAATTAGGTTTAACAGCCAGGGTTAGGGTTACAGCCCGGGTTAGGGCTAGCATGAGAGCTAGAGTTACGGGAATTTGCAGAGGGGATTAGGACATTTGCAGAAATGGTCAGGGTTCGAGTTAAGGGTTTGAGTAGCGTTACGAGTTGGTGATTGAGTTTTGATAATTTGCAGAAGGGTTAGAGTTGAGCTAATTGCCACACGGCTGTGAGGGTTCGGCTCGGTGTAATTGCCGAGGACCGAGGGGGTCGTCAAGTGCCCAGGTCACACGATATAAATTTGACGCGCGAACTCTGTTCCACGCGCGTGTGTGTGGGGGGGTAAGCAGAAGCGCGGGCCCGGCTTCAAGTACGCCTCCAACCTGCCAGGCTCGATGCTGCGCGAGTGCGGCGAGCGGCGACGCTCCGAGCAGGACGACGCCTTCCCGCGCCGGCGCTCCGACGAGGCGCTCAAGCGCGAGCACGCTCGCTCGGACGACGACTCGGACGCCGACTCGCGCTTCGGCAGCGTCGGCGAGGACGACGGCGACGACGGCGGCGCCGACGAGGAGGAGGAAGAGGAGGAGGAGGAGGAGGACGAGGGGCGCCGGCGCGACAGGGACGAGGACGAGGAGGCGGCGGCGGCGCTGGAAGTCTCCGAGGCGGCGGCCGAGTCTGTGGCGGCTGCGGGGGCGGTGACGCCGACCATCCCGGCCGCGGGCGATGCCGCGATGCTGTCGGACCACTCGCCAGCGTCGCCGCCGTCGCCGGCCGGGTCCGCGTCACCGCCGCCACCGGAGCCGCCGCCGCCTCTACCGACCGCCGCCGTCGTCGCCGCCGCTGCCGCTGTCCAGCACACGCCGGCCAACGCCAACCGAAAGGGCACGGAGGATGGAGGAGTCGTCTCCAAGAAGAGGAAGGATGTGGACGGGGTGCAGCAGCCACTCGGGCAGAAGAAAAAGGTAGCTGTGCTCACGTCGCCATGCCCTTGTCTGTGTGCGTGCGTGTGTGTACGTCCGTGTGTGTACGTCCGTGTGTGTGTGTGGGCGTATTGTGCACTCCCCAATTAGGGAGCACAGGTGGTCATCTCGGTCAATCAACCCGTGACACCTGGGTCCGTCCCGTGACCTGCCAGTGAGGTGTTCACACTTCACAGCCTGGCTATTGATGTGTGTGTACGTGTACACCTGTGGGAGTGCCGGTTTTATTTGTGCTGGGCATATGGTAGCGAATCGATTTGTCAGGTGAAATACGTTCTTGTGCTCGCGATATACGATGCATCGAGTCCTGATTCTAGACCATGTATTATTTGTGGTAAATGCGATTTATTTGTGTGCTTGATACGCTGATGTCACGTTTACGCAAATGAATTGTCGGAAACGAAATTGTACAAAACGAAAACAAGAGCCAATGCAAATGAAACTACAAAAACAAGACCAAAAAAACAACTTGTCGAATTTAATTGCAGCTCCCCCAAAACGGCAGAGTTTATTCCGTGATTTCTGAACCGGTCCTGGGGCCCCGCCTTAACCAACCCGCACTGACCAGCGTGGGTGAAGTAAAGTCAGACGACACCGGCACAGCGTGGGGAAGCCGTCGCGCAGTGGATTGACAAACGATTGCTCAGAAGTGCTTGTAGCAGCAAGCTGGGGGGGGGGGGGGGGGCGGGTTATGTGGAAGTGTGGGGAAGAGCTGGGGAGAGCTGGGATCAGCTGGGGAGAGCTGTGATCAGCTGGGTTCCTGGCGTGCGCCTTGGCGTCTCCCGAGTGCCGTGGCTCTGGGCCAGTGTGGCTCGGGGCCTCGGGTTTTCTTTGATCGCTCAATTAGGAAAACGAGTTTGGGTGTTTCCGCCAAAGTTTAGTGACGAGACATCTTAAACGACTCATCCACCGGCGATTTGATTGTCCGCCAATTAATTTTGGGTTCTGCTTGTCGTTCGGCACGACGTTTCACCGTGCGTGCCGAGGTGAGCCGGAACGTCGGGAACCCAATTTCGATTCCTAAAGAGGCTCCCGTCGCGTGCGGCTGAGCGTCCTGGACACTGCGCCGGACGGCTCACGGCACAAAACCCGGAAACGTGTCGGAGACGCTACGCGGCACCACCGCGAAAGCCTTGCCGTTTGTTACCCCAGAATCCTCTACTGCAGCGCGCCATAGTGGCGGTGGCGGCAGCTAATGTTTTTGTGTATGGAACTCCGATGGCTGAGTTCGTTGCACATGCGCAGTACTTAACCACAATTATCACAGTCAATTGAGTTACTCGCCTAAAAATGAAATCACGGTTTACTCGGAGTCGTCAAGCAATCCGAGAAAGCCTCGCCCTCCAGGTTTAACGGCTGGCGGCGTGGTCCAGGGCTCAACTTAATTTACTTATGCTAATTAGCATATCAAAATGATTGTAGTTGTTAACTCCCCCACCCATGAGTCATTAGCCGGGGCCTGATGGCCAAAAGTTTGATGCTGCTATCAAAACATACAATGTCAATCTCGAGAAAATAACCCACACATGACTCGCGTGGCAATCATCGCCCCCCCACTGGCGTCTTGGTGCTCATCACCGAGCCAGGTGCCACATTACCTCGTGCCACACGGCGACAGTTGCCAATCGGGGGAATCCACGCTTTGCGAGACGTTTCCTTCTTGTGGTAGAGGGTAAGGAAATAATATACGTGGAGGTTCATTGACTAATTTATGTTGCTTTTTGGCCAATTTGTGTTTTTTTTCCTATTACGTTTTTTTTTTTTACCAAGGAAAGTCTCGCCGAGTCTCGACGATTTTTACCCGAAGTTGTGCTGCTGCATTTTCACGGGTAGAGGGCGACGATCGATACGCGTTTCCCAATGAAGTAATTAGTGGGGGCTTTTATTATTTATTTTCTCAAATTTGAAAAAATGGACCACGATGCCTGGCACCCAACACCGTCGACGGGGTCTTTAATGTTCACTGTGAGGCAGGCAGCGTGTAGCTTGTACGGCTGATACAGGGACTCCTCTACTTACGAACGAGTTAGGTTCCAGAGGTCTCTTTGTTATTTAGTGGATTTGTTCGTAAGTCGAGCTTTACTCCTATCGATTCGAAACATTTTGTACGGCATGTACACTAAACACAGGGAATGGCTTTAAAAGTTGTATAATCTCCTCCTATATGTAGATGCCATCGGTTCTTGACGTTCTGCAGATGTAGATGCCACCACCGCCATCTATTGCGCGCCGGTTGAACTTACGACTCTCGGTCCGAACAGGCAACTGGACGTACGGACAGGTTTGTTCGTACGTCTGAAAGTTTGTAAGTCGAATGTTTGCAACAAGGCTGGCACGGCCCGGTTTTATTCATTCGGGTTTTAATCGTTTTTTATATAAAACCGGAGCACCTGGATCCTGCCCAAATCCGGTTATATTCGGTTTTATTAAAGTTAAGTCGGGATTTCAGTCGCACGCACCCATTAGCTTTCAGCTCCTGGCCAAGCGGAGGAAGACCCCACTAGAGTGGTGGCAGACCGACGGCAGCGACTATCCCGCGCTCCAGAAGATCGCCATCAAACTGTTCAGCATGGCCACGTCGACCGCTGCGTCTGAGCGAAACTTCTCGACGATGGGATTTATCCATTCCAAGTTGAGGAACAGCCTGGCGCCCAGCACAGTCGAGAAGCTCGTCTTCATCAAGTCGAACCTCAACGCGTTCTACGACTACCCGACGCCCGACGACGGCGACGACACCGAGCCCAGCGGCGAGAGCGACGACGAAGACGACGCGGCGGACGACGACGAGGAGCAGGATTGAAGTGTGCACGAGACGCCAATAATAAAGCCAGGTTTTAATCGGCAAAATCGGGTTTAATTTCCATTAAAACCATACTCTTTGGTTCTATTCGGTCAAGTCACGTAGGTAAAAAATAAAACAACAAAAATCACGGCGTTTCGGCCACAACACAAGCGGCCTTCATCAGGTGAAGGGAGCAGACTGTCTCGAGGACAGCGCTGGAGTGAAACACAGCCACGCTCAGACCGCGACCTTTAAGCTGTGTGCGAGGAAACAAGGTGCCTTGACAAAGGAATTAGCATAAAAATTAGCATTTGATTGGCCGACTTAGCATGATGAACGGTGTAGAGGTGGTGTACATGCGGGTGAACATGCCGGTTGGCGAGGGGGGGGAGGGGGAGTTTACCTATTGATGGTGTGAAATGGGAATTTTTAAGAGCTGCGAAAGTTTGGGGTACCACTACTTGAAAAATATACTGTACCATTGAAAATTAGTTTAATGTTTGGTTCGATTTAGAACATCTTTCCAATGTTTGCTTAATTTGAAACCATCTTCTCGGTTGAAATTGTGTCTGTGTTTGTAGATCTGAATTGCCTCGTGAACAAATCTCTGATAAAAACCCGTAGGTTTGCAAAGAACCTTGGTATCGGAGAAAATTATATCGTGATCATCCACAGCATTGTAACAGTGATCAGCTACGGCAGAAGAATTCGTTCTGCCGTGTTTCAAATCTGATTTGTGCTCGCGAATTCGGTCAGAGACATGTCGCTTTGTCTCCCTGATATAGCAATCACTGCAGGTACAACTCAATTTGTAAACCCCGGGGTACTGTAAGTCAGGAATGACATCCTTCACGAATGGGATCAGATCAAGAATTTTGTGTACTGTATTGAACCGGACCTGGATCTTGTGTTTGTTTAGAATTTTGGAAATCTTTTTAGTAACGCCTGCTATATATGGTAGTGTGATGGTTTTGACCGGAGTATCAAGTGGTTGTTTCTGTATGGAGGGAGAAACAGCTTGGCGGATGGTACGGTCAGAGTATCCATTCCTTTTGAGGGCCAGGTGTACATGATCCCATCCGTGAAGGATGTCATTCCTGACTTACAGTACCCCGGGGTTTACAAATTGAGTTGTACCTGCGGTGATTGCTATATCGGGGAGAGAAAGCGACATGTCTCTGACCGAATTCGCGAGCACAAATTAGATTTGAAACATGGCAGAACGAATTCTTCTGCCGTAGCTGATCACTGTTACAACGCTGTGGGTGATCACGATATAATTTTCTTCGATACCAAGGTTCTTTGCAAACCCATGGGTTTTTATCAGAGATTTGTTCACGAGGCAATTCAGATCTACAAACACAGACACAATTTCAACCGAGAAGATGGTTTCAAATTAAGCAACCATTGGAAAGATGTTCTAAATCGAACCAAACATTAAAATAATTTTCAATGGTACAGTATATTTTTCAAGTAGTGGTACCCCAAACTTTCGCAGCACTTAAAAATTCCCTTTACACACCATCAATAGGTAAACTCCCCCTCCCCCCTCGCCAACCGGCATGTACACCACCTCTACATCGTTCATCATGCTAAGTCGACCAATCAAATGCTAATTTTTATGCTAATTCCTTTGCCAAGGCACCTTGTTTCCTCGCACACAGCTTAAAGGTCGCGGTCTGAGCGTGGCTGTGTTTCACTCCAGCGTTGTCCTCGAGACAGTCTGCTCCCTTCACCTGATAAAGGCCGCTTGTGTTGTGGCCGAAACGTCGTGATTTTTGTTGTTTTATTTTTTACCTGCGTGACTTTACCGAATAGACTCAAAGAGTATGGATCCTTGCAGTCACGAAAGCTTTAAATCTAGAAACCATTAAAACCAATAACCTGAAGTGTCGGGCAAAAAAAAATCAGGGTTTTCCCACCCTTGGTTTGCAAGTAAAGGAGTCCATGTATAAACCCGCACTGTTGACCAGGGCGGCAACCGACTCCACGGGCGGAGTGCGCGTTTTCGTAAAAAGAAACGGCGCGCCACAGGTGTCCCATCGTCTCCCACCCAGAATCCAACTCCGGTTTGTAGTGGCGTCGCGCACACGTAGCTTGAAGTCTTTATTTGAAGCGCGTGACGATAGTTGGCGCGGGGCGCAGCGGTTAGGTGCGTAACTCCAAGCTATAACTCGTGAAGCGGTAATAGTGCATTGTCAGGAGTGCACAATTAACAAACTCAACACATTTTTTCACAGTAATGCGGACTTAAAACGGAAAATGTATATAATAGGCGACATTTTTGGGTCGTGCACATCTGTGTGCTGTGAAGAAGGGCCATTGCCCTCAACGTCGCCTATTATATTTCGATTTAAAGCAATCGAAACGTCGTGAGAATTGTATTGTTTTATTTGTATTATATTATTTCCCTTCTACGTGACTTTACAGAAAGAATATGAGTCGCCTATTATATATATCTTTTTTTCCTTTTGAAAGCTGCGGTGTTGTTGACGATTGCTTTGAGTTTTTAACTGCAAGGTTAAGAGCTGTTCGTTTTCTGGATTGCATCTCCTTATTAAACAAAATAAAACCATTAGCTCACTCTTCTGAAAACCCTTGTTCGCGGGAATTAATAAATAACCACACGGTCGCGCGTGGCTCATCTTTCTCCTCCCTTTTTCTTTCCTTGCTCGCACAGGTCAAAGTAGAGAAGGCTGAAAAGCTTCTGAGAAAAAAGGTGAGCGGTTGGCTACGTACGGTGCGAAAGAAGTTCAGCATGCGTTGCGTCCCGGATTTATAGCTCGCTAAACAATGGGCGCTCGGCACGCTCGTGGCTCCTCGAGGTCCCGCTGGAGCAGCAGTCCCCTGCGGTGATTCGCACACGTTTGTCGTTTTAGTTGCGTCGCCGCTAATGACGGCGAAGTGGGATTGAGTGCGCTTGACGATCGGTCGCGCACCCGACGCTCCCAAGGGCAAGAGCTGCATGGTGGGAGGGAGGAGTGTGAAAGTTGGGTGTTGGAGGGGAACAGAATTATTTAAAATCGCCTGGAACGCAGAGGAGTCCCCGTGGGTTTGAACCCGAACCCTGGCGATGCCCATTGTATGTTTGGATTCCTCGTGATTTTTCGCCAGGCTTCCTCCGGTTTTGCCCTTATCCACATTTAGCAACATTATTTTAGATGATTTAGCTGCGACAAATTCGATGAGCCATCGTCATGGGTGGCCAGGTTGCCTCTGAAAAACATCTAATAGCTCAAGTTCCCTTTACCTGGTATAATAAAATGATAATTGAAGATAAAGTTGGATGGCACTGACAGGTGCGAGTGAAATGCGCCATTCGGTGGTTCACGGTGGGGTCGGCGTCGCAGCTTTCGTTGCCTAACGCGGTGTTTGTGCGCGCGTGACAGGTGTGGTGGATGTCCCGGCCGTGCCCATTGCCGGCTGGTGTAGATTGATCGCGTCTCGGGTTCCACGCGAGTGCCCCATGCTCGACGCCCTTGCTCGACGCGCCTATGCGTGCGCGCGTGTGTGTGTGTGCGCGCGTACGTGTTTGTGCCTGCGTGCGCGCGTGTGTGTATGCGTGTTAAGTGAGTGTTGGCCACCCACACCCTCATGCGCCGTGTCGGCCTTCATAGGTGCTCGCTCACAGCACTTGCCATAACAGTCTGTTAAGGCTATACCGGGGATCTTTGTCCTTGTGTGAAGTGAGCGGGCGCTGAAGTGGGAGCGTGCCTGCGTGTGTGCGAGCGTGCGTGCGTGCGTGCGTGCGTGCGGGCAGCGCATCTCCGCGTCCGCTCGTTTGGCAGCGTCAGTTTACGGAAGCCGTTTGCCCGTAGCCCAGCTCAAGCGGTCGCGCTGCGTCTGGTGTATCGCCGCCGCCTTTACCTTGCGCGGGTGTCGTCTGAATGTGCCTCTGGTTCTGAAATAACGTTTGAGACGTGGAAACAGGTTGGGGAAAATCTTTCACGCTCCCGGATTGCAGAACGCCGTTCAACACGCGTTTGTCTTGGGCAGGATTTAATGAGCGGCACTGAAGCGGGGCAGGTGTCTGCCAGGCAAAATGCGTTGTCATCTTGCCCAATGGTCCATTTTTGCTCTGGTCTGTGCCTCCCAAGTTTCGTAGCCAATCCGTACATAGCCAATCCCGCTGATCGGAGGTGCGGGGGAAGGACAACAAACCAAACACAAAAAGCAGTTCTGAAGGAATTAGTTTTAAATCTAGATTTAAAAGTGCGCATAGCTCCAGTGGCTTCCTCATACCACCTCAGGATGGTGTTTCTTTTCGTCGGGGATTATCAAAGGGACGAGAGCAAATGATGCTCTGGAATAACGTTGCAGCAAGATACGATTGGTAAAAGTAATAAAGAAAAAAACAATGCAATTGTTTCTCCATTTGGATGAGCACTCTGCTTGGCAGTTCGAATGCTTTCTCGGTAATGCTCGTCGCTCGCCCTCCTGTCCTGCGTTAAGATAGCAAGCACCCATTGGTGTCTGTGGGGCAAGTGGAGAAAGCGAATTAATTGCAGAAGGAAGCGTGGTGCTTCAGTTGTTTGAATTGGTCGTTCAAACGAGTTTGAACTGAGTGATTGGTTAATGATGGAACTCGCTCACGAATAAAGTTTTCGGGTCTTAACAGGGGAGGATTTTGTTTGGCTTTGGCGAGTTGGAGTTGGAAGTGGCAGAGCAGTGGTTGGGTGCTCTCACTGCTCTATGAATCCGGCGACTTAAATTCTGATTGGATCAGCGGCGAGCAATATCGGAATGGGTCCGGTACCCCCCGCCACCACCACTTTACCAGCGAGGTGAAGTCCGCTCAAAAAAACCCAGCACTACCAACACGATGTGGGACGGCCTCCAGCCAGCAATAGATTGACAAAGACCTTGGAATTATTATTATAACAAAAAAATCTCATTCTCTGGGTAAGAGGATTGATAGGCTCCGCCAAATTCAGTTTCTGCTGAAGCAGATCCCCCCCCTCCACCTGCCGCTTCTCGTACTTGACCGTGAATTTATTCGGATTTCAAATTTGACGCGTGCATTGTGGTACCGCCATCGCAGTTGTTCTTCCTGTGCTTGTTGGCGCGTTACGTATGGTTGCTGAGTGTGTAACCTACCCGCGAGGCGCGAAGCGTCCCCTCTCACGCTCCTTTGTTTTTGCATGCCTCGCATCAGAAGCAGAAGGCCGTGGAGGTGAACAATGGCCGCGTGGAGTCAGGCCACCGGAGGGATGGCCCGGCGGCCTGGCTCGAGAGGAGAGGCGTGGCCTCGGAGCAGGGCCGCGCGTGGAGGGGGACCGACAAGCAGTCGTCCGCCGCCCCTGACGCGCCCGCTGCTGCCGCGGCCGCCGGGCCCAGCGGTCGCGAAAACGAGCGGAAACCCAACAAACACTCGCGCGACGCTGCCACGGCCGGCATCACCGGTGGTGGTAGTGGTGGCGGCGGCGGCGGTGGCGGCGGTGTCACCGCCGGGGAGCACCGGTCCAAAACGAGAGACGCTAACGACCGCGTGAGGCCCGCCAAACCGCACGCGACGAGCAAAGCTTCCTCCTGGGGCCTCCACAAACCCGAACAGAACTCTGTCGGCAATAGCAGCGCGGGTCGCAATAACGCCAACAACAACAGCAGCAGCAGCAACGGCAACAGCGGCGACGGCGGCGCCGCCGACAGCACGAACAAAAACCACCACGCGCCACTGGTTAAGTCGGAGGAGGACGGCGAGAATGGCAATAACCGGACGCCACGTTTGTTCTCGAGTAGCGAGCGGCTGCAGAAGGCGGCCAAGAGCCTCAACGGGATTCCCCGCGGTGGCCCTGCCGCCAGGCAGCCGCAGCAGCTGCAGCAACTGCAGCAGCAGCAGCAGCAGCAGGCCGCGGGGCTGGCGCAGGCGCCGCCGCGGCTGTGCGGGGTGAACGCGCGGCTCGGTGGCCTCCCGCGGCCGCCTTCCTCCGTGTCGCCGCCCAAGCCGCACCTGCTGGAGAGGCACGTGATCAAGCCGCCGCTCGTGAGCCCGCCGCCTGACGCCCTGCCGCTGGGCGACGGCGGCTCGCACCCGCTGCGGCGCGAGGCCTGGCTCGGCGTCTTCCGCTTCCTGTCGCACCGTGACCTCTGCGTATGCATGCGCGTCTGCAAGACGTGGAACCGATGGTGGGTGGCACGTGCACTCGCGCGCGCGTGCGTGTGCGTGTGTGTGTGTGCACGAGCGGTACGAACCTGGCGACCCGGGTTCGATTCCCGCTCACGGCCAACACCACGGTGACGATTTTCTGAATCGGTCCTGGGCCTCCCCTAGGTCGACTCAGCCTCAAATGAGTACCTGGTGCGATGTGTAAAAATCGCCACTAGGGAGACAAAGGCGGCCAGGCATGGTTTTGGCCACCCATTCCCTCGTGTGCAGTGCCGACCTTTATAGGTGCTTGCTAACAGCACTCTCCCCAACATTCTGTAAAGGCTATATGGGGGGGTCTTTGTGTGCGCGTGTGTGCTTGGAGGGGCCTTGAAGGGAAACAGTAGTGCAGTGGTTAGCGTGCTGTGCTACGAACCTGACAACCCGAGTTCAATTCCCGCTCATGGCCAACACCAGTGACAATTATCTGAACCAGTCGCGGGCCTCCCCTATAACAAACTCAACAATTTATATTGAATTTTACCAGGTTAAGGCCCACTGAACTATGTAGCTCTTTTTCAGAAGCGACCTGGCCACAAATGATAGCTCAACGAATTGATTTGTAATGTGGATATTTATAGCAGCTAAATATTCTAAACGCATGTTTCTAAAAGTGGAGGGAAAAACCGGAAGTCCAGAAGAAAAATCCAAGTAACCACGGGGAGAGAGAGTTGAGACACGCAAACTCCAAATATACAGCAGGCATCAGGGTCGGGATCGAACCCACAACTTCCTACATACCAGGCGAGGTAGTTAACATCTCACCACCATGGCTCCCCAACAGCACTGGGTCAGCTTAGCCTCCCCTAGGTCGGTTCGGCCTCAAATAAGTACCTTGTGCGATGTGTAAATATCGCTACTGGGGAGAAAAAGGCGGCCGGGCGTGTTGCTGGCCACCCACCCCCTCATGTGCCCTGCCGGCCTTCATAGGTGCTCACTAACAGCACTTGGCCTCAAAGTAATTTAGGCTACACGAGGGATGGGCAAATGTAAAAGTTGCAAGAGGTGTGAGGGTGTAACACGGTTTCCTGAATCGAGCAGGGTTATTTATTGCAGGAGATTGGGACAAAAAGAGACGATGGTCACACTGCGAGTGAGTGGTTTGTGCCTGCAGTGTCGCTGGCGGCGCTGGGCATTGCTAACGTTAAGAACAAATAAGTGCAGCCCACGCTGGCAGAGACTAGAAAAGCTAAAATTAACCCAGGTTCAAAACGTAATTTTGTTACCGTTTTACACACGTGGGTTTACGCCGCTAAGCGGGTACAGAAATTGCAGAACGCCGCGTCGATCCGGGGCGGGCGGGCGCGCGCATCGCATTACAGCCGCCCCGGCGTCACCACGAGCGGAGCGACGGCTCCCGTTGGGAGTAATCGCAGCGCGCCCGGACCCCGTGGTGACGAGGGACCGAGCTCGTGATCCCGAGGAGCGGAGGAGCAATTTTGCGACTCGTTAACGACGCGGCATCTTGGGAACGGGCGACTTGGCGGATTGGGTCACATCCGCGTGAAGCCTTCTTGCAAACGCTTTTCGGTTGAGCCTTGGCGGTGCGGCCCGGTCTGGGCCCGGTTCGCTGGCAGCCACCTCGCCCCAGCCACACTACAACGCGCGTCGCCAAAAAGGCACACACTAATTAAAGCGTTACTCAAACAATAATGCGGCACGTGGCTTTGCGCGGTAATACCGCAGGTTGTAATGCAGGACAAATCCTCTTTTCCATGCGCAGCCTGGGACGACGACGTAGCATGCTTGACCATTGCCCATTTTACTTTGTTTCGAGTCGTCCGTGTTCGTCTTTCTTGACCGGAGCGGGCACGTTAGGACGTGGCGAGAAGCTGCGCGCTGTTTAACGCAGATAACCCGTGGCGACGTGTGCACACACACGCTCATCACACACACACACACACACGTGCACGTGCACGTAGCGTGCACGACCTCCTATCTCCGCCGCGTGACAAAAAAATAATGCCCAGATACAGATTTTAAATGATGACAAAATTCAATAACGTCTGGTTTGTCCCAGCAGATATATTTGTCTTTAAACTTTCCAGGCGTAATGTATTTTTCGAGTAATAGTGTTTGATATCGGAGGCTGTCAGAAAATTGGCAGCTTGGGTGAAAAGGCTCCTGTCTAAATACGGCAGTAACGGCACTTTCATTAATCTTTCATCTTGCCTCATCATTCTCGCAATCGCTGTGGAGGAGGGGTGGGCCGGGTTTTGCTACGCGTGATATTGTTTGTGAAATTGTTTTTGACGGATATTTAGCATCCACATTTGTGGGGCGGAGGGAGGGAAAAAATCCAAGTGATCTCCTGGCAACGTCGAGCCACATAGAGCCGTTTCAAACGAACGTACGCCCTCACCGACGGCGGCTCGCGAAAGCCCCAAACTAGCGACGCCGTAACGCTCCCCTCTCGTTGCCATCGCGCTGACAGTAAGCGTGGCGCTTCGTCCTTCCGACCCTGCGATCGGAAGTTTGGCTTCCAGGTGAACGCTGTAGATATATTCGATCTCCAAAAATTGTTGATCTCCCAGGTCGGTTGGTCGGTCGGCGTTGCATGCCCATGAACGTTTAAAAACGCTGACTTCGTCTTTATAAGTGCCTGTCACGTGGCTCCCACGTGATAAGCGATGCCCCAATGCGCAAAGCAGGCAGGGAAGTGCTGCCCTCTGCTGTGAAGTCACTTGAAGAGAACACGGAGATAGCTCCGTGGTGTCTTGCTTTTGTGGGCCGTTGCCTGCACGCGCTCTGCTTGGCCGAGAGAATCCGGGTGGACTCTTCATCTTCGTGACTCAATGCCCGATGGCACGAGCGGGATAAGATCGAGGGGAAATTTCCGGCAGCTCCGATGACTCATCGCGTCCCTGTTTCTTCACCATCGTCACCGAACCCTCCTCAGCTGAACCTCCTCACCGCACGACACCCCTCGTGGTACATTGCTAGTGGCGCCCTTAACACGTGCGGATGGCGCCATTTGGGGGATTAGGTGTGCAGTCTGCAGGGGTTTAGAGGGCACGGGGACCCTGACGGTCGCGTTAATCTCGCGCTGCGCCCCTGGGGCTCTTAGGTGATCTCGGTCTCTCGTAACCTCCAAGCGCAGTCTCTGTTCAATGCACGCCACCTTGCATGCGTTTCCGCCTGTCGGCAAATCGCCCCGATGGCGTCCGTTCTCGCCAGATCCCGGGAGCTGAGCAGGGTTGAGCCTGGGTAGGAGGGGGACAACGTTTGTTATCGGCTTCCGCGGGGCTACGCTGTCGGCAGAGGGCAGTGCAGCACGATCCGTTGTTCTGCTCTGCACTCCGACAACGCCCACGATCCTCGCCTCCACCAGCCCCGCGCGGAGGAGCGCGGTGGCGCGGCAACTGTCAAATCATCGCTCGCGGCCTGCACCGCGTGGGTTAGGCCCTCGTCCAGCAGTGGAGTGACAATAAGGGCTGTACGTGTGCATAACCTGTACGTGGTCAGGTGCTTTACCCGAACGGCATCTGCTATGGTGTGCAGCACATGGGCTGGCCCGATGTGTCCTGAGCACAGTTATACGTGGCAGAGCCGTATAGAGCAACCGAGAAAACCCACGTGATTGTACCCGTCCGTGAAATACTCTTCCTTCCGGACGAAAGCACGTCTGTCGCGATGCTGGTCGGTCGCTTGCTATGTTGAGCATTGTTGTTGTTGTTTATCTCCCCACTGCCGCAGGTGCTGCGATCGGAGGCTGTGGGCCAAGATCGACCTGAGCCGGTGCAAGTCGGTGACGCCGCTCATGCTGAGCGGCATCATCAAGCGCCAGCCCAGCGCTCTGGACCTCAGCTGGTCCAACGTCTCCAAGAAGCAGCTGGCCTGGCTCGTTAACCGGCTGCCAGGTGAGTCTCGCGGCGCGCGGTCACCGCCAAATCTCTCTCCGAGCGCGTTTGAGACACCTCGACGCCGGCGTGGTGCGGTGTGATCGTCCGTGCTGGGGAAGCAAAGGCGGCCGCCCGGGAGTGGTCCTTCCCCCACCACCCTCTCATTTGCAGTGCCAGCTTTAATAGGTGCTCGCTAACGGCACTTGCCCGTTTGTCTTTTCCATCAACGTCGTTGCCATCAACGTACTGGGTCTTTTGTTTGCATTTTGACTGCTTGTGTTGTGGTTATTGCAGACATGATGCCTTGAATAAAGGTGTCAGTTTTTGTGCCAGTTAAAAGGGTAAAACCTATTTCTATGTACTGGGTCGAGGCAGCAAGAGGCAGCCGCCCTCCAACAGTAAAAGAGGGTGCAGAAGCGACGCTCGCAATAAAGAGTGGGGCACCGGGCAGCTGAATTGCAGCCAGCGCTGTGGCCTCTGCCAGTCATCTCAGCCAGTCGACCGGTGAACCGTCATCGGCGAGCCTTCCACACTTCACCCGACAGACTCAAAGCGCACCTAGCCGGCACAAGCGCCGCGGTGATGTCGCCGCCCCCATGTACGCCCGCGCAGGCCTGAAGGAGCTGGTGCTGTCGGGCTGCCCGTGGGCGTCGGTGTCGGCGCTGTGCGGCGCCAGCTGGCCTCCACTGCGGGCGCTCGACCTGCGCTGGGCCGAGGGCGTGAAGGACGCTCACATCCGCGACCTCCTGTCCCCCGACTCGGACTACACGCCCGGTATGGGCAGCGTGCAGTGGCACGCGGCGGTGCACCACGCGCACCCGACGCGCGTGGCAAACAAATGCCGTAATACGCCACACACGAGCACCACGCACGCACGCGCTCGCCACTCTACCGCTATTCGCAGAGCACAGCGTATAACGGCACGCGACAGATTTAAGGCAGGCAGAATAGAGGATTTTGTCAATGAATGCACGTGTTTGGGGTTAATCTGTTTGGGGTGGCTGCTGAGATCATGACGTTGTCATCGTCATCATCGTTGCTGCGATCCCTGGCACGCAGGCGCGGAGGACCGGCTGCGTGGCGTGTCGGAGCTGCGTCTGGCCGGCCTGGACATCACGGACGCTAGCGTGGCACTGCTGGTGCGCCTGGCCGCGGGGCTCGCCACACTCGACCTGGCGCACTGCGCGCACCTCACGGACCAGGCCGTCAACGTGCTGACGGCACCCGGAGCCCCCACTCGCGACACCCTGCGCCACCTCGTCCTGGCCGGTGCGTGCCGCTCGCTGGCGCCCGTCGTTACGCTCGTAGCACCGCTCGCTGTTGTGGAGTCTACGGATTCCGCTAAAGCCGCTGACTTGCGTTATCGCTGCGTCCCGCGCCCCACGCAGGCTGTGCCCGCATCACGGACGCGTGCCTCCCGCTGCTGGTGCGGTGCCCTCACCTGTCCCGCGCCGACCTGCGCTCCTGCAAGCTGGTGACACCCGAAGCCTGCCAGCGCCTCGTCACGGAACTCTGCCCGCAGGGCACCTTTGCGCTGCCGGAGGACCGGCTGATCCAGCGAGTGACGAGCACTGGCAGCTAGGGACTGGGGCGGATGGGGGGGGGGGGGGAACGGGTTGGATAATGGACGCAAGCGGGGGTCATGCGGAGGAGCTGCGTGAGTGCGCATGCCTGTGCGTGCGCGTTTGTCCATGGGAACGTTTGCGTAAGGAATTTGCTACAATGTTTGCTGTATTTGCTTTGTATTTTTTTCTCCATCCGGACTCCCCCCCCCCCCCCCCCCCGGCACCATCACACTCCTTAAAGGAAACATGTACATCTTACAAATATATATGTGCGTGCGCGTGCGTGTGTATATATCTATTTTTTAGGCTGGGTTGTACTTGGACCATTCTCTCGGGATTTTGTAAGTACGCGATTGTACGTATGTATATATATACGCGCGAATGAAGGACTGACTATGCGTGTGAATTTCCAAGTTCCTTTGAACGACGTTTTTTTGTTTTTTGCGCCACTGAAACTTGGAACCCAGCACGCGGCTTCCCCGACGCCGCCAGATCACGTCTGGCGGCGGCGGGGACCGCGGCAGCCGGGACAGGGCAGCTGCTGTACGAGTCGTGGTCGTCGATGGGGTTCATGGCATTTTACTAAATATTCATTTACAGAAGTTTGCGAAGGGTGGGGTGGGGGGGGGCGGGGGGGGGGGGGTGCTTTGATGCGATTGGCAGTTTGAGGAGAAGGGGTGGCACGGAGCGTGCGTGTGAGCGCGGTGGTCGGTGAGCGCGTGTGATTTTTTTTCTACGCCTGCAAGTGTATTTTTGTACGTGAGTGAACAGGGTTGTGTGTGTTTTGCGCGCCTATTTGCAGGTGATTGAACGAGCGAGTGTGTGTGTTTGCGTATGGGCGCGTGTGTGTTTTGTAGTCGTGCACGTGGGAGTGTGTCTGCGTAAGTGCCAACGAATAAGCGTGCGCGCAAACGAGCCTTTCATTTCGAGTGCGGTTGAGTGTAGGCGCTGGCGAGTGAACGTGTGTTTTTTGTGCGTAGATGTGCATTGGCGCGTGTAGTTTCGTTTGTGTATATGTGCTGTAGGTGTGGGTGGGTGAGTGAGCGAGCGAGCGAGCGGACCTCTCTTACTGTTGTGGCTTGCGTGTATTCTTTGTCTATAGTTGTGAATGCGTGCAGGTGTGTTGTCAATGTGTGTGAGTGAGTTAGCAATTGAGCACACGTATTTTGTTGGTAGATGTGCGGGTGTGTGTGTAGGTGTGAGCGAGCGTGTGTGTGTGTATGTGTGCGTAGTGGTTCCCACGCTGCGCTACGAACCCGGCGACCCGAGTTCAATTACTGCTCATGGCCAACACCAGTGATAATTATCTGAACCGGTCCTTGGTCCCCTCCCCTACCTAGTGAGGTGTGTAAAATCATCGCCACTGGGGAGACAAAGGCGGTTGGGCGTGGTGCTGGCCACCCACCCCCCTCGTGTACCGTGCTGGCCTTCATAGGTGCTCGCTAAACAGCACTTGTCCCAACAGTCTGTTAAGGCTATACGGGGGATCTTTATTTTTGTCTTTTGAGTGCGTGTGTCTAGGTGTGAGCATGTGCGAGTGCCGTGTTGGTCGCTGAGAGTGGCCGGTCCACCAGGGCTGGCCTTGTGCCTCTGCTGTCGGGTGCTGGGCTGAGTGTGAGGGTGGTGGGCGGAGTGTGAGGGTGGTGGTGGTGGTGGTGGCGGCGGCCGTGCGCCTCTCAATGTGAATCCGTCATGATGCCTCTGCTTTGTGGCCCAGGCCATTTCACTGGACCAGAGTCCTTAACTAACAAACAAACAAAAATCCTAAAAAATACCAATAATGTACGTACTATTTTTGACTGAACTCTGTAAATACCTGTTTTGTACGCCGCTTTATAACTAAAAGAGGAAGTTGAGCTTTGCCGAAAGTACTTGAATATTTTCAAGGAAAAGAAACTGCTTCTTATACCACGTGATCCAACGGGTTACCACTGTCAGACCTGCCGAGGCCCCCAACGTAGGCCTGCGACGTTACACGAAAATGTCTATTTACATCGACGAGAAACATTTTACAGAGGTGAGAGCGAAATGGGGATCTGAAATAGTGTTAAATGAACGAGACGTTCTGCCATCAGCGAGAGGGAGCCGACACTCGGAGGGGGTTGTATTTCTCTCCGGGTCATGAGCCTTTTTTTTGGCACGGAAGATTAGCAGTGGTGGCGAGTCGCTTTGTTTTTATGGAAAGGTTCCTCTTTGTGGAGTTTGTATTTTTTTTGTCGCCGGCCCTCCCCTCGCCCGGTCCTCCGAAGCGACACAAACATTACCACGCATGCTAAACAGACGGGGCGACCACGGGGCAGCCCTCCGCTGCCAGCTCTCGCCCAATCACAGCTCAAGTCATGCTTGAAATTAAAACCGTCGACATGACGCAGCCGTTCATCATTTCGCCTGCAAAGACACCGTGCGTGCGTGCGCTTGAGCGCACGCACGCACGCTGACACCGTGCGTGCGTGCACGTGGGCACACTATCTTAGGCTATTCACAAATTTAGCACAAGATTTTCCTTACGTCCGCATCCGTCACCGTCCACTGGAGGGCGTTGTTCGTAACTTGAGCCAATCTCACGGGACCCACGGAACGTCGTGCAGGAGGAGAGATTTGTTGTGGGCCTCCGTGTGCCCGTCCCTGCCACCTCACTTCCTCGCTCCTTATTATAGAGGCCATCTCAAATCTATCTCCCTCTCTGCTGCACCATGTTCCGTGGCCCCGGCAGGAGTTGCTGAGAAGGAGAATAACTCCCTGCACTGAACATCGGCAGCACGGACGAGAACGCTGCGTTTTTTGCCGAGGTACAAAACCTAACATTGCGAAACTTCTCCCTAAGGTGTGAGTGAACACCTTTGTGTGCCGTCTTATGTCCACGTTTAGGGGCTGCATTTGTAAATGACATTCATTGAATAAAACGTTTTGTAAATTATGCTGTTACGCGTTTACCTGTTTGAACCTCGTTTTTCATTTGTAAAGATGCCCAATTTTGTTTGTGGGTTTTTTCATTTATATTGTTTTTATTATTTTTTTACCTGAAATGGGACAAAATATTCCAAAAGCAGCGTTTAAATGTTTATTGTAATTGGTGTTGAAAACACAAATGTTTACTGTTCGCATGGATCACATTTTCAAATACCAAGTGTGTGAGTGGTGCATTATCGCAAGCCTGTAATGCCATATTTATGCCCTGATCTCTTCATCGGTGACTGGACGTCGACGGGGAGAAACCCCATCTCACCCCCCCCCCCCGACCGCCTCTTCCTCCGCACCCAACGCAAGGTCTTCGTTTGCGGGGGACGTGTCCGCCCGCAAAAAAAACCAAAAGCACTCCCGCGCCAATCGCTAGTGCCACTGGCGGTGGGACGCCGTTCTGCATTTGTGAATAAGCATACCACCCCCCCATATACTGTCTGCTCATGAGTAAGGCGTACAATGCTCTTCTTGTGAATGATCATAATGCGGTTCTTCACTTGTGACTTAAGCATACAGCGATGCGGTTCTGTGGTTTGGGGCTGGTGGTGGGGGTGTGGGGAAGGAGGAGCAGCCAACCCACCTAGCCTTGAGCATCTGATGTCTTTGGGGAAAGTCTGGGAAGTGGGAAGTCTAGTGGTGGAGTTGGGAGAGAAATATTTGTTCATGTCACCGATTACATTGGACAATTTATATCTGCACCCCTGCCTGGCTGGTGCTGTGTTGGTTGGCTGTGTTACAATGAGTTGGTTAGGGGGTTGATGATGGGGGGCAGGGAAGGGTATAAAGAAGGGGGGGGGGGGGGTGATGTAACCTGGCTGGTGTAATCCACATTTACAACTTTCTCGGTGCTCTTTTGAAAAGTAAAAAAAATAATGCACATGCACTGCAATCGGCGACAGCGTTAGCATTGTGTACATGCAGAAGCCGTGTGTACATACAGAAGCCGTGTGTACATGCAGAAGCCGTGTGTACATGCAGGAGCCCTGTGTACATGCAGGAGCCCTGTGTACATGCAGAAGCCGTGTGTACATGCAGAAGCCGTGTGTACATGCAGGAGCCCTGTGTACATGCAGGAGCCGTGTGTACATGCAGAAGCCGTGTGTACATGCAGGAGCCCTGTGTACATGCAGAAGCCGTGTGTACATGCAGAAGCCGTGTGTACATGCAGGAGCCGTGCGTACATGCGGAAGCCGTGTGTACATGCGGGAGCCGTGTGTACATGCGGGAGCCGTGTGTACATGCAGAAGCCGTGTGTACATGCGGGAGCCGTGTGTACATGCAGAAGCCGTGTGTACATGCAGGAGCCCTGTGTACATGCAGGAGCCCTGTGTACATGCAGAAGCCGTGTGTACATGCAGAAGCCGTGTGTACATGCGGGAGCCCTGTGTACATGCAGGAGCCGTGTGTACATGCAGAAGCCGTGTGTACATGCAGGAGCCGTGTGTACATGCAGGAGCCGTGTGTAACTGCCATCCTGTGGTCGCCTGGTGGCGCTGCTGTTTTCCCTGATCAAACGGTGACCACCGTGTCCATTGGTTTAGGATTTTACATATTTTTGCAATGTAATATATGACACATACAAAACCACTGAGACAAATGAAGATGTCAGTTGGAAGTTTAAAATTAAAACACTTAAGTGTGGGGAGGTTCAGCTTTTTTGTTGGATTTAAGAGTTTTCCTGCAGGTTGTTTGTAATTTATATGAACTGCTGAGACGACGCCTCCCATTTCATATCTGTATAATTGTTCAATTATACCGGCATGTTTTGAGAGGTTTGTTTTGGTTTTATCTGTTTCGTTTTTATATTTCTGTTGATATTGTTTTTATATATATGAAATATCTATATGAAAGTGAGATGGACGATGGTGACGACGACGGTGGTGGTGGTGTTGGCATCCCCTAACTCGTTGGGGCTGAGTTTGTCAATCGATCGCTCGCTCTCCCGGCCGACGAGAAACAGATGTTTACGTCCAATAAACTCGACTGCTCTGCTGGAAGAAAAAAATAATCCCACGCGCGTGTCTCTCTATCTTATTTTATATTTATAGAGCGCATTTGATCAATGCGCTTAACGTGATTTCATAAAAGTGGTACAAAGAAATAATTTGGGTGACATGGGCGTGCAAGCGATGAGGAATTAATGAGTGCGTTTGTATTTGTTGAGCTTCTTTCGCACCGCACGTAGCCAACCGTGCTTATCGGAGGTGCGGGGTGGGGGGACAACCGCGATCGGGAGGTCATGAAAAGGTAGTGGAGGGGGGAGGGACGAGGAAGAGAATGGGCAATGGAAGCGAGGTGATCCCGTCTTGCTAACATGTGCATTGCTTTGCAAGGTAATTTATTTTCATGTGCTCTGAAGAAGGGCCGTTGCCCGAAACGTCACCTTGTTACGTGTTTTTTTAAGGCCACGCGCACTTCTTCAATGCGCTTGTGCACCAACGCAGCAGCAGCAGCACCTTCATTGCTCACGTGGGGAACGAGGCAGATACCTGGAGAGACGTGATTGGGAGGAATGCCCCCCCCCCCCCCCCCCTGATCTGAACCCGGACGGTGAGATGTTTTTGGAATTCTGTGCTAGTCACAGAATGTGATTAAACAAAAACCATGTTAGAACACAAGGATGCTCATGAATGTATTGGTACCAGAGCACCTTAGGCCGAAGTTGAGTGGTTGACTTTATAGCTGTGTAGTGGGTTCAACTGAGTTGCAGACGCACATGGACACAACACATTTATTAAAACCAACACACGGGGTAACTACCCCTTAACACATTAACAACCTATGGTGGTGGACCACCAGGCTAACTGCTCTAATTACACCGTAACTAGCTACGTAACCACCAGTTAACTGCACTAATTACACCGTAACTACGTAACCACCAGGCTAACTACACTAATTACACCGTAACTAGCTACGTAACCACCTGGCTAACTGCACTAATAACACCGTAACTAGCTACGTAACCACCAGGCTAACTACACTAGTTACACCGTAACTAGCTACGTAACCACCAGGCTAACTGCACTAATTACACCGTAACTAGCTACGTAACCACCAGGCTAACTGCACTAATTACACCGTAACTAGCTACGTAACCACCAGGCTAACTACACTAATTACACCGTAACAAGCTAAGTAACCACCAGGCTAACTACACTAATTACACCGTAACTAGCTACGTAACCACCAAGCTAACCACTAATTACACCGTAACTAGCTACGTAACCACCAGGCTAACTACACTCGTTACACTGGGAGTAGCTACAACGGACCGGACCCCAGCTTGGGTCAAGGTCCACGTGTTGGTGACTGTAGGACGTAGAACATAGATTATTCAAGATGAAC